CGATCAATCAACCCACTATTGTAAGTAGCCCCTGCTTATGATAATGGACATAGATTATAAGTAGTAGTGACCTAATCCAACAGACTGCAGAAGCTGTATGATAATTGATAATATAACCATTGGTAAAGGTATTGCCTGATCAAGACATCACATATATCAAAGGAGAAAAATGCTATGAGACATTTACAAAATTAGCGTCACAATAGATCTCGTAGCTAAGAATAAAGACTATAATATAGGTAGAAGGGTCAAGACCATCATCTGGAGGTGGGCAAAATAACTTTATAAGATAAACCAGCAGCAAACTAGAGATTAAAACTAAATTATTGTTAAAGCTTCTTACAGGATAACACAAGCACACAAATGTAGGCTCTGATATATTTGTGATTTACAAAGAAGAAGAATTTATAAGGCTGATTGATTGAACCCTCTGCCCCGGCACAGAAAAATGGCATATGTCAAGTCTTGGTTAAGGAGATTATTCCAACCATTTTTCCTGATTGAGGCTTCATTCAGATGAGATGCACAATTCAACAGATACTGAATGGTGCATATTTCCCTGTACACTGAATTATATTCTCTTATGAATCTAACTATTTTCTAAATGCTTCTTGAAACTAAATTCTATATCCCAATGCCAAGAAAGTCATAGGCTCTTAATATGAATGATCCAGTAAGGAGTAGCAGGCTAAGAGTCATAGAGCCAGCAAATTGTGTATTCTTGGTCTCTCATTAACATTTCAGATCTGGTTCTGGCATGTAGCCAAGTGATTATTATCTCCTTAGCACTACTTTAGCCTGGGAAGTGAAGGGAGTAATTGAAACTACTCAAGAATTTGGATAACAGGTTATAGAAACCAGTAGAAGCTAACCTTGTGATATTCAAGAGTATCACCAGCAGCCTTCCGAACATCTACCATGAAAAGGGATGGTGCAACTTCAAAAATCTATGGAAAATATAAAATTCCATTAGAACCATCAGTAGTGCGGCAATAAAAGTCTGCTTAAAAGCCCTCTAAGGAAAAAGAGATGGGAAAAGGCAAGTCTCGGATGTCACCTCTATAACAACTGCAAATTGTCCAGCTTTATTCAAAGATAGCCCCTCAAGCCTTGTCTGTGGGAAAACAGGAAAAGAAAAGTAAACACGAAATACCATTAGAATAGAGCATCCAGTTTAACTACCAAGACATGATTGTCCAGATCCACATATATATCAGGAAATTATCTTATCCTAAGTGCCTTCTTTTTGGATTGTTTTATTAACCGGGAAGGGTGGAAGCGTATATCATGTATATGCCCACACGGGAATTCATTGAGCTAATACTTGGTGAACCATGCATATTACTGAATGATGTTCATCAACGATACTTATTGTGCGACATCAGTACAATACTCATAATTTCTAAAAGACTGTTCCATACTAAACAAAAGAGATCCTGTTTTCCACAATAATCACCATAAATGAACTCTCCTTCAACCATGAAATGGATGGAGGATTAAAAATTCTTTGTTTTGAAGTATTTCTTGCCATCATCTAGAAGCTTACTGCAAGAATAGACAATATCTCAATGCTGGAGCACTAAGTCAAGGTGTATCAGTTAGAAGTTAATCACTGTAGGATTTTCACGAATTTTCTACCAATAGTACCTTGTAATTGCGTGTATGAGCCTTGAAACCCATTGATATTGCAGCAGCCTCAATACTTGAAATTATCACTTTTGCCGGCTTGCGGGAAATAAAACGAGTTTGCCTTATGACATAATCCTGTTGGGAAAAATGTTGAGAGAGAGAAAGAGAGAAAGAAAGCACTTCAAAATAAACTACCAAATTCAATCTCTCAAGCTGTAACAACGCAATCAGATGCAAACAAGATGGATGCCTGGCACTTGGATAAACATCAAATAAATTATATATTCACTTTTAACATGCAACAATAACAAAGTAGAAATTACTGCCTTATCACCTCCACTCTCCTATATTTTGACCAATTGTCTAGGAATCATAAGACAGACCAGAAAACCGCATGTGCCCATGTCATGAACTTGAAGATACAAAAGTTGGGTCAGCTCATAACTTGCTAGGCAATTAGAAAGTTATCTCGGTTATTTCAAGAGTGAAAGAGAATTATTATATTGCTCTGCGACTTTCCAAATGGTTTCTCCACAATTAATTGAACACTCAGTCATCAATAATTGGTGCAGCTAAGTCTTGATGTCATAAAGAAGAGCAAGCAGATCCACGGCAATTCTATCTTTGGGAGTACTATACCTAAACCCCAAAACCCATTCAAAAAACCTGAAATAATCATGTCTATATTCACTAATTGACAAATTGGAATTCCTTAAGGAGCCTTGAGAATTCGAGTTTACAGCTACTACAATTCTAACCATAACTCTATATTTTGCATTATCGGGTATGGACTTTTCTCTCTCCGAAGCAAGTCACCAGTGAAAATGATACAGTTCCTAAAGACCCAAAAATAATTCCATTTGACAAGGTGTATTAAAGAAGGAAGAAAGAATCTGTTGTAAAAGAATCTGTTGTCCACAATTAGTTGCTTCTAATTTTAGGGCTTCAACTGTTTGATATTTGTTAGGATGTTTTATATTTTTGGATGAGGGTAGTAAGTATGGGATAAATTTTCTCAAGTATAATGTAGTTGTTAAAGTTGACTTAGTCTGGCAAATTCAAGGAAGATAAGGCAAGGCAGTTGTGTCAGTTCTGCCAACAGAAACTCTTCCTCTATTACGCAGTTGGAGCAATTACTATAGCCAGTTTTAGCCGTTAATATTCTACCAAGTAAAGTAACTGTTCCTGGCACCTCTATCGTATAAATTCATATGTCTCATCTGTAATGGTGTGAAGAAAATTGTTAATGTTGAATACTTATTTAGTCAACAGATCTCGGGGTTTTCTCTTGATAAGTGCAAGTTTACATTTAAAATAGGTGAAGGCAGGAATGTTTAAAGACACTCAAAATTCCTACAAATTTCTATGTAAAGTGACTCAAACTAGATCTATTAGTATATCTCAAAAAAAAAAAAAAAACTAGATCTATTAGAGCGGACAGAAATTCAGATAATTTACAATTAAATATCAAAATATTTTTTTAAAAAAAGATTTCCTCTTTTCATATTGCCTAATTATGAGCATCCATATTTTTCTGTCTAGAACTCTTCAAATTTACACCAAATTCAGAAAGTGTGGTATGAACAAATATCAATATAGCAAAGGGAATGAGGATCATAACTTAAAAGAGAAAGGAAAGATAGAACAAATTTGTTGGGTGAACGAATAAATATAGAAAAGGTAGAACTAAACAATTTGCTGAAAAGATATAAGATGATGAAAATAATATGCATTGCTTGGATCCTTATCATACAACTAAAATGTTTAATCAGTTACATTACCTGTCGCCTATCAAAGAGTGCTGATAAATTCAACCCTTGAGACAGGGTTATCATCTCGAATGCATTCATTATCAATGGACCTGCCTGTTTAGTTTCAGTCTTCTCTGCAACATATCGATCCTGTACATTTCCAGTAGTTACTTAAGTAACAAGAAACAGAGGCAGATAAAAGAATTCCACAGGAAACTTTCACAAAGGACAGGTTACATCTCATATCACTTCTGTATTTAGGAGGAAGAACATGAAAATGGAACCCTTATGACTTACGTTAGAAAATTTCCTACTACGTCGAACATAACTTGCATAATTAAGAGCAAGAAAATGAAAATGGAACTCTTAGAACTTGCAGGAAAATATCCCATCTAGAAAAAAGGAGAAACTATATGCACCAAAATCATCTGAAAAAGAAGAACAGCCAACCTCAATGTCATCAAAAACTGCACAAACATCATCCAAATTCACTTCCTCTTCTTCCCTAGGTCTGATAGGCACATAGTTTTTCCTGAACCAAGGATCTTTCCTTATTTCTTCAATCCGAATACGCTGCACAAGAAACATATAGAAAAGAAAGAAGCTAAACGAACAAAAGAAATATGTGAAGATGAAGGCTTAAGCTATGTATTGTAAATTTCAGAAATCACAGTTGAGTTCATAATTGTACTTTGTTTCTCGGGAATGAACTACATGCTTTTGTTAACCATCAGAGCTCACAAAACATTTAAAGATCAAAACCATCTACATCCCAGTACCTTGCTATGTTCATTTTAAAGCCGCTAGAGAGGAAGTGCCTGATTTATTAACTTGAACTGGATGGTTCAGGAGACAAATAACTGGAAAATGGCCTTACTGTCAAGGTAATGTAATTTGAACTGAATATCTTAAAATCAGCAAGTTGACCAGTTTAGTTACAGCTAGCTGCTGACTGAAGTGATCAAGAAGCCTTTTTGGGCCCTGGAACTTAATGCACTCCATGGATGTGCAAAGCAGATAATATTGTAATTGAATACAATCTCCAACTTCGAACTGGAAAAGCTGAAATAAAATACTCACTGTTCTGTGGTTGGGATCAAGAATTTTATGTATGATAGATTTTGCTCCAGGAGAAAACCAATATGGGCAAGAAAATTCTGCAGCATTTATCTGCACAATAACAAGAACATTTGCAAAATTCCCAATCAAACTGTCATGGCACTTTTTTAGAAACAGTGTCACACTAATTGATGCTTATAAAAAATACAATTTTTTAAATTATTTTTTTACAATAAATGAATTTACTTGAATCCTTCAACATTGCAAAGCCTAAAACTTAAGCTTGATTTACTAATGTGGAATTTTTTTTTTTTTCATGAGAACCTCTAAGGTACAAAAGGAGATAGAACAGCGGACAAACAGAAGCCGTGCGGCTGAACATAATAATTAATGGATATTTGGTGATGAAATTTTTTTTTTCACAAGGCCCAACTGTCGCTTGTCCATCTATACACAGTTTCAACGAAGTATATTGATGGTGTCAATTGATGGTGTCAACCTTTTTGTATAAGGATGGAAGGTCTGGCCCATCAAAAGGTAGATATCCAGCCATTATAACAAAAAGAATAACTCCACATGACCATATATCAGCTGCTGCACCATCATAACCTTGGTAGCTGATCACCTGATAGGAAAAAGTTATTGAGGAAATGAGAATTCACTAGAAGAGAAAACAAATGAAAATTCACTGAAAATCAAAGAAAAAATTGAAAATTTATTGCTTTGGGCAAAAAGCATTAAAGATAGTGACAAGATACAAACAATAGGGTAAATGAAATTTCAAATAGTAGCATAGATCAATATGCAGCCACATGATATCTTATCAAATAAACTATTAGGGGAAAAATATAAAGATTATAATAACCATGACAAAAAGTTACAATAAAAAAGAATGAACAGGAAAATGCCTCCAAAGTAAACAATCTAAGTTTTAGAACATCAACCA